TTGTCATACTCATCGACATGCAAGTCGTGATTCCTATTACAAGAACATGATCAATCTCATACATCACATATCATTCATCACATTTTTCTTGGCCATATCACATCACATAGCATACCCTACAAAAACAAGTTAGACGTCCTCTAATTGTTGTTTGCATATTTTACGTGGCTGCTATGGGTTTCTAGCAAGAACGTTTCTTACCTACGTAAAAGCCACAACGTGATATGCAAATTGCTATTTACCCTTCATAAGGATCCTTTTCATCGAATCTGATCCGACTAAAGTGGGAGAGACTGGCACCCGCAAGCCACCTTATGCAACAAGTGCATGTCAATCGCTGGAACCTGTCTCACGTAAGTGTACGTGTAAGGTCGGTCCGGGCCGCTTCATCCCACAATACCATCGAAACAAGATTGGAATAGTAACGGTAAGCATATTGAACAAAATCAACGCCCACAACTACTTTGTGTTCTACTCGTGCAAAGAATCTACACAATAGACCTAGCTCATGATGCCACTGTTGGGGAATGTAGCAGAAATTCAAAATTTTCCTACGTGTCACCAAGATCAATCTATGGAGAGACTAGCAATGAGAGAGAAGGAGAGTGCATCTACATACCCTTGTAGATCGCTAAGCGGAAGCGTTCAAGAGAACGGGGTTGAAGGAGTCGTACTCATCGTGATCTAAATCACTGAAGATCCTAGTGCCGAACGGACGGCACCTCCGCGTTCAACACACGTGCAGCCCGGTGACGTCTCCCATGCCTTGATCCAGCAAGGAGAGAGAGAGAGGTTGAGGAAGACTCCGTCCAGCAGCAGCACAACGGCGTAGTGGTGATGGAGGAGCGTGGTAATCCAGTAGGGCTTCGCCAAGCACCACGAGAGACGAGGAGGGAGAGAGGTAGGCCTGCGCCTGGAGAGGTCAAAACTCTTATGTATGGCAGCCCCAAAACCTCAAGTATATATAGGGGAGAGGGAGGGGGCTGCGCCCCCTAGGGTTCCCACCCCAAGGGGTGCGGCTGCCCCCAAAACCCATCTAGGGTGGCGGCCAAGGGGGGAAGATGGGGAAACTTGCCCCCCCCCAAGTAAGGTGGGGCGCCCCCCTCCCCAAACCCTAGGCGCCTTGGGCCCTTGTGGGGGGCGCACCAGCCCACCTGGGGCTGGTACCCTCCCACACTTGGCCCATGCAGCCCTCTGGGGCCGGTGGCCCCACTTGGTGGACCCCCGGGACCCTCCCGGTGGTCCCGAACAATATTCGGTAACCACATACAAACTTCCTTTATAACCCTAGCGTCATCGAACCTTAAGTGTGTAGACCCTACGGGTTCGGGAACCATGCAGACATGACCGAGACGTTCTCCGGTCAATAACCAACAGCGGGATCTGGATACCCATGTTGGCTCCCACATGTTCCATGATGATCTCATCGGATGAACCACGATGTCAAGGACTCAATCAATCCCGTATACAATTCCCTTTGTCTAGCGGTATTATACTTGCCCGAGATTCGATCGTCGGTATGCCGATACCTTGTTCAATCTTGTTACCGACAAGTCTCTTTACTCGTTCCGTAACACATCATCCCGTGATCAACCCCTTGGTCACATTGTGCACATTATGATGATGTCCTACCGAGTGGGCCCAGAGATACCTCTCCGTTACACGGAGTGACAAATCCCAGTCTCGATTCGTGCCAACCCAACAAACACTTTCGGAGATACCCGTAGTGCACCTTTATAGCCATCCAGTTACGTTGTGACGTTTGGTACACTCAAAGCATTCCTACGGTATCCGGGACTTGCACAATCTCATGGTCTAAGGAAATGATACTTGATATTAGAAAAGCTTTAGCATACGAACTACACGATCTTTGTGCTAGGCTTAGGATTGGGTCTTGTCCATCATATCATTCTCCTAATGATGTGATCCCGTTATCAACGACATCCAATGTCCATGGTCAGGAAACCATACCCATCTATTGATCAACGAGCTAGTCAATTAGAGGCTTACTAGGGACATGGTGTTGTCTATGTACCCACACATGTATATGAGTTTCCTATCAATACAATTATAACATGGATAATAAACGATTATCATGAATAAGGAAATATAATAATAATAATTAATTTATTATTGCCTCTAGGGCATATTTCCAACAGACCCGAGATGACAACTGCAGTTAAACGAACATGGAAGAGGGTCCGGACCATGGCAACTAATGGGACACGTGATAACTGTCACACGGAGCGTGCAGGACCGTGAGTACGGGCGTGTGGGCGTTATCGATTTTGCCCACACGTAGGCGTGTGGGAGGAACCGCAAGGCAAAATGAGGCGTGTGGGCATTACTTATTTTGCCCACACGTAGGCGTGTGGGCTGGTTCTCTTAGACACCACACAAAATGTGTGGCCAGAACCCTTAACGTCCACGCGTGTGGGCGTTATCGGCATCCAAAAAAAATTCTCCCAATCGCCCAAAAAAAACATTTCTCTCAAAAAGAAATCTGAATTGAAACGTAAGCAACGAAGTTGAAAAGAGATGATTAGGCATCCGGTAAAATAGATTAAAAAAAGAGATCACAATTCACAGTTATACAAATGCAACCCAAGTATAGCAGCATTGCTATGAATACTCTGCGTCGTAAAACACATGGTGCATTTCCGTCGTTTCCGTTCTGGATCCGCCACTTACGGCAAGGAGTGCTCCGTACTTCCGCACCGAACAGCGGCCTTACAATGCATCTTGTTGCTAGATTAGATCAGGAATAACGGACCCGTATAATAACGTTGTTGACCTACATGGAGTACCCTTGAAGGAGCAGTCCGTCAGGTCACTCGTAAGTAACCCGTGACGAGACCTCGGGGAGATGCACGCAGACGCAGCGCCGTAGCCTCGTCAATGTCAACGCGCGGGCGTAGTAAACCCTTACGTGCCCCCTTGGTCTGCAACTCCCAAATGTTCCACTCCACCATCGATCTCGCTTCCACCCTCGAGAAAGCAGAGATCTTTCCACCCCTACAATACACGTACGCGTGTGCCGCAGAAACCGATGCGTTCAACTGGGCCTGCGGCAACGACGTCGAGACTCGAAGCAGGGAGATGAGATCTGCCTGCCTGCCCGCCTGCCTGCTGGTCTATGCCGCGTCCCGTTGTCGCTTTGTCAGCCCAAGTCCACGCATCGCCTTCGCCTGCGTGAAGCCGAAGCAATGGTTGAGTAGTTAGCAGGGGGTAGGAGGAGGAAGGAGGAGTGGGAGCGATCAGCGATGCCATGAATTATTACGTCGGAGCTGATATATGTCAATGCCCCGTACAGGAAGGAAAAGCGGGACATAATTGCCGAATTATTGCTCTTCGCCTGCCGGTGGTTCATGTTCATCTTCGTGTTCGTGTAGCCTGCCTCTGCTTGCGTGTCTGAATCCTGGTTTCCTGATGTGGCCGAACGGTACCAATGCATCAAATCAGGGTTGGTTTAATCAGCGGCTTGATAAGTGGAAATGGACTTGACTGCTGTTGATATTGCGTTTCATTTGGGGGGTAATTTGACAGTACGGTGTTTGTCGTGGGGTCAGCGAGGGAGGATGGGACACGCCCCCGTGTGCCGGCGACACTCACGGGACTGCGGCTCTGCTCTGCTCACATGTGTTCGTTTGGATTCTAGACTAGCCATGGGGCCGTTTGGCGTACTAGGCACTGGCGGGCAGCAGGTATGTTACTAATGTTTGTTGCTTTGCAGAGATAAGATGCTGAGTGTCAGGTTAATTTCACACAAAAAAGATGAAAGCCGTAACACCCGTTCCAATGGTTTCAGTCACGATCGTTAGCATGCTGCGGTGCGAAAATAGTACACTCTAATTTTGGTTTTAGAAGAAGAAAGTATGGATTTACGCTAGGCTGTTTGACAAACTATGCTCCATTTTGCTCTGGGTGAGAAATTCAGAAAAAGAAGCAGGTCGTGATCGCCCTATTTTGTGCGCGAAAAATACATAAACAAGGAGGAGAAAATGACCCTCGGCAGCGGCAACAGCAGCCACAGCATGGCAAAAGCCGCCTGCAACTAGTGGATAGCAGAAACAACAAGGGAAGATGGTTTCTTTAATGTGACACACATCTGGCCATGTGCGATGGAATCTCGGCACCGCTTCTGCTTTGCTCAACTCCTAACGACTCGTTAATACTTTTTGATTATGTTCCATGCCCAACAGAAAGGCAAAAGAACACAACAGCTAAAAAGGCAGCCAAAGTAGCACAGTCCAGCCACGAACCCACAGTTTACTACAGTTTAACTTGACAGCGGCAGCACTTGTTTTTACTCCTGAAGTTTTCCGCACATAACAGATAGTGAAAGTATTTCAGATGAATGCGAAAGTGCCTTTCTGCTTCCGAGCAGCTCGGTGAACAGTAAAATCGAAAAAAAATAAAAATAAAATCAAAAAATTCCAAAAAAAATCTCAGAGAAATATTGACAAAAGTTCTAAGTGCTTGCAAAAATTCATCATAAAATCACATTCCTGTGAGGCGTGGCAAAAAAATAAATTCAGCCTCCAAAATGCTTTTGAAAGTAGCATTTTCAGAGTACCGATTTTGTTTTTTTGCCACGCCTTCTAGAAACGTGATTTCATGACGAATTTTTGCAAGGACTTAAAACTTTTGTCAATGTTTCTACCAAGAAAATTTGGATTTTTTTGAATTTTTTTTGATTTTACTGTTGAATGCAGCTCTTGCATTGTAGTCAGATCACCTCTCATTTTTCATCTGTTTCGCACAATCTCCAAAATTTCACAGGGAAAAAATTGCACAAGCTGATGGAGGAGGAGGAGGAGGAGGAGGAGGATTAACCAGCAGAAGTTTAACCCTCATAGTTAAGGAACAAGAACAAATCAAGAGCATTGTACACATACATCTACTAGCATTTAGCAGGAGGTGATCAAAACCCAACCTTATAATTAGTAAAGTGATTAACCATCACCGACGACGCCATCATCTACTAAACCGCTAGTAACTCAGTAAACCTCCTCGGGGATGCTCTGGAGGCCGGGCTCCCACTCCCCGCTCGCCTGCATCCGCCTCGTCTCCTCGGCCGCCCTGCGCATGCTGCGCCGCCGGAGCGACTGCAGCCTCTGCTCGGCGTCCGTGCTGCCGCCGCCGCCCGCCGCGCGCTGGCGGCTGCGGCGATCAGCAGACGCCGCTGCGGCCGCCACCTCGCCGCCGGTGCCGAGGGCGGCCACCATCTTCTTGAGCTCGCGCTTGCTGACAACGATCTTGACGCGCACCGCGCCGCCCACTTCCTCTCGGGACAGGACGCGGCCGCCGTGGTGCAGCTGCTCGAGGGCCTGCTCTGCCGCCTTGGACTGGTGCCGTCCGGCCACCGCGTCCCTGGGGAAGAAGCACCTGGTCGCCATCGATCTGGCCGCGATACGATCGGTGGCCGCCGACGCCGACGCCGACGCCGCCCGCAAGCAAGCGAGCGAGCACTGGTGCGGTGTCCGCCGGCCGGGCAAGTAGTAGTAGCGCTCAGTCCTTCCTCCTCCGACGTTCCTTGCAAGCTACAGCAGAAAGGCTAAAGCAATGGCAAAGTGAATGTGCGGGCTGTCGAGTAATGTGACATGCTAACATGCTTATATACTGGTTGGGGCGCATTAGGGGTTGCCTTTTGGTGAGCCGCGCAGCCCCAAGCCCCCAACTGTCTCCAAATACACCACCTCAGGTCACTGACCAGTGGGCCAGTGCGCAGTGGGGACCTGGCTCCCTCGCCACCTGTAATGAGTGCGTGTCTGTCCCAAACCTTTCTTCTCTGAAAATCAATTAATTAAACATGTACTAACATGGATCAATGCTGCTGTTAATAGATTTACAGAATGGTAAACAAATGCTCTAGCTTTTTTAAGACTCTAAACAATCATGGGACCGAGACTTATTGCCATGGCAGTTGAACAGAGAAATGGATGCCTCACATGGCCGTCCCACTCGCAGTCATTGGGACGATCCATGGGGGGAGGCCCTTGCAAGTAACGTGTTATCACAACGCGATGGAGACTCCAACTCGACGACCCGTGGAGCCTACGGTCGTGTACGTTCTGGTTACGATGGCGAAGTTTGACACGGACACCCTTGGCCACAACAATGACCTCCCATGTTCCCTCTTGCTATTCGGATAAGTTCGATCGCGATCGTGTGGTGGTAGTACGTGCATCCACACATCAGCACATGTATGTGTACTGTGTAGTGTAGGGATGTATGTATGATCGCGTAGCACGGGGTCTGGAGGCGCTGGCGAATTAGCAGTGCATGGTCTTGAAATGCAGGAGGCTCAACTCTGCAATGCTCGATCGATCGCAGGCTTTGAGAGGCATTACCATTGCTGTCCCTTTCAGGTGGTTCGGAACTGAATCCTCTCGCATGGTGACCTGGCTGTGCTGACGGAAACAGTCGAGCGGACGGTCGTAAAAGACGTTGATACATACTGTATGATTTTCTCGAACTCGATCTGAGAATAACATACATGCAATTCCAGCTAACTACTACTCATAACCGTCAGTTAGTTAGCAACGGGCGTCGGATCGGCCTCTCTTGGAAAAACAGGCCTACGCCTCAGGTACGTGGCCACAATTGAACCTGGCACCTATCAGCTCCTGTTTGTTAATCAATGTGATTGTTTGGTTTGACATTGGTTGTTAGCTTGATTAATCCCATTCCTACGTGCCATGATGAGGCGCAATCATCACCAACGTACATCTATACCACATCGACGCGGATCGACGGACGGTGAGCCAACCTCCATGATTGACTGCAAACTGCAACAGTAACGCGGAACCCGCCCGCGACGATCATGATGAAGGCATGACGCGATCCGTCTACACCTTAGCTAGACTAGTACGTAGATCCGTTGTCCGTAGCACGCCAAGTGTATGTACAATTACAAACGACGAGATTGCATCACCAAACTAGGATGCACCCTACGGGGGGCTGGGGTCGTTGAGGGAGTGAGTAGCTAGCTGGTGACACGCATCCATGATTGATCGATGCACGATGTTAATTTACAGATCAATCCTCCCAGTGTGTGAAACGAATTCTACTACCACTCCGGATCGAGTGCTACTACTAATTGGTTTCCTCTGCTCATGATTAACTTAACTAACTTGTCAATGCGCAGTCTTTGGCAGTTTGGCTTCCTTCAGGAGGGCTTGAAAATTAGCAAGCTAGCTTTGGGGCTGTGTACAGTGCATTGCAGGCCATGTTTTGAGGAGGAAGTAACATGGGGCGGATGCAGCTAGGTCCGTCGTAGCAGCCATTTCTTTGTGTGCAAACCAAACCACTGCATAAACAAACACACAGACAGATAAACAATCCCGTGGAGCTGACGAGGATAATAGCTTTCTTCACATGCACAAAAGCTAAGGGTGCGTTTGGTTGCAAGGGCGGTCATAAATGGGTTTGGATCGTTCAAAAAATAGACATGTTTGGTTATAAAGCACATGAATGGTTCGAGCCAAAAAAAGAGAATATGCCATGAAGATGCTGAACCGTTCCACCCAACCAAATCGGTCGAATCAAATGGCCACCCTTTGCATGCATGACTATGTGAGCATGACTGGTGGTCCCGTCCTAAATAATTAGCTCACCACTTATATTCAGCCAAACACATGAATTGAATGGTTCAATCCCAAAAAAATTGAACGGTCCCAACCCATTCATACGACACCTTCAACCAAACGCATCCTAAGATCCCGCGCTGTATTTCGCGTGCTGTGGGCCCGCGGCGTCGATCGCCCTGGCCCCACACGCCAGCCGCATCTCTTCTCAGGTGTGGGCAGACTAAATACCTGATGCCCATATCATGGCCCGATTGGTTTGGTCTTCTCGTGATAACTCGCTCCGCTGGCCGCTTGGTAGTATGCTTGAGGGAAGGTTCCTCCTATGTGATACACCATGAGCACTGTGGCAAAGCGTGGTTAAACCGGGCAGCTAGCTAGCTCTGCGGCTGTTCTTGTTTGCTTGCGTCCAAAGCCCGGAATACATGCAGCCAAGCCAAGTACGTGAGGTGTCCACGCTACGGACAAAGTGCATGTGTTGGCCGCTGCTTTTCAGGTCGAAATTATGTGTCCGAGCGTTTTCATGTTGTGGGCTAGTACCTAGTAGTATCTCGGTCTCGGCGGAGTTTGCGTTGAGACCACTGTATTCCGTGATGGATCTAGCGCGAAATGCGAATCGGACGCTTGTTTGCTAAGCTTAAATATGAAATCACCTAGGCTAGCCATAGCAGCCTAGCAAAGGTATTGTGTTACTTTGCAATGAAGGATGCAATATTTTACCTGAGTAGTACTGCTAGTTAGGTTGACCAATTAGCACCCGTTTATTCAGCATGTAATCTTGCAGTAAACAATGAGATAGATCAGCAATATATTACTCTAGAACGGTTTTTGAGATCAACACATTTTTTAAAGTAATGTGATCAACATTGGCATACACGACAGACACGTACGCATAGCTAAGTACGAAGCTCGTCGGTACCTGCACCACGAATTCTTGTTTATTAGAGGTAACATGTACTTCATGTCAAAAAAAGATGTAACATGTACTTGATCGGTTAGGCGCAGTGCACACGATTAAATATCATGAGGAAAACTCAGGAGAGAAAAAAAAAAGAGGTTTTGGTAGTGACGTGCTCATGATGCTAGCATGACGTCCCGGAGCCGCTGATTTTTTAAACGAAAAATTAGTCGATCAACGAATTATTTGGACGAGAAGGACGCGTGACATCCAGTACACAGCTTGGGCTACCAAAACTATGTCCGGCCGGGGCCACCGGATCAGCGACCCCCATCCACCGCTCGCGCACGGGCCGATGGACCGTTCCTTCCGCGCGTGCGAGCCAACGGATCGCGCCTCGACGGTCCGGATCAGGCCGATGACGCTGCACGTCGAGGCCGGAGCCTCTCTTCGGGAATGGATCAGGCCCACACGTCGACGGGCCGACGCCCGAGATGCGCCCACGCGCCGCGCCGGTCCGCCCGTACGCGGGAGACGTGGTGGCTGCCGCCGGCCGTTGCGTGTCGCGCTCTGCCTGTGACTGTGCGTGTGCCCCCCGGAGGCACGCTCGGTCGTTTTCAGGTAGGTCATCACATGCCGGGCTTAGCTGTCCGTCCGTCTGAGCCTGTGGTGTGCAGTGGCTGCGCCGCGATGCTGCCAGCTATCGGCACCGGCGGCTGCCGCTCGTTTTCCTCCGTACGTGCGGGCTCGTCATCGTCGACGCCGTTGCGCTGTGGGCTCGTCGTCGGCTTGCGCCGCTGCTTCCACCGGGACCGGGAAATGGTGCCACAACTGCCACTGGTCGCCGGTCGGCACGTGGTGTTTGCCTCGCGGGCGGGCGTCCGCGGAGCCGGGCTGGTTTTCCCGTTGTTTTGTGCGTCGGGACGGTGCTTCGGTACACTGGCGCAGCGTTCTGAACTTCTGATTCGCAAGTAATAGAAACGAACGCCGTGGCGGTGGTTTGTTGGTGATAGCTGGCTGGCGTGGGACTAGCTTAGCGGTGGTCGCAAAGGTGACTGGATTGCTCGTTAAATTTCGGTACGGTTGATTGGGTCTTAATTCCGGGCTTGAAATTGTTGGCCAATGTACGTTTGTGGGAAAGTATTTGGTGCTCCCGGAGCATATAAGAGCATCTCTAGCAGACCCCGCAAAAAGCCCCGACCCGCATTATAAACATTAAAATGCGGGTCGATGCGAAAAATCCCGCCGGAACAGACACCGCAAACGCGACCGACCCGTAAATTTTTTTGATGGACGCGGTAAAATCTTGACCCCAACCCGTGAATATGCGGGTTACCCCCCCCCCCCCTCCCGGCCCGTTGGTGTGTTGCATATAGCGGGAGCGGTTGGTGGGGAGGACATTTCAGCCAACCCTTTTCCCCACCTACCACCTCCTCTCTCCCCCTCGCCCCGCCGCCGGGCTGCCGCCCACGATTCCAGCGAAAGTAGCCGGCGGGATCACGCCGAAAGGCCGCCAAACGCACGAGATTGCCCTCCGCCCCACCCTCCCGCGTCGCCGGGTCGGAAAGTTGCAGATATGCGGCCCTTCGTCGCGGGTGGTCGGATTTGGCTTTTCTGGCCGCCGATGGCTGCGCCAAGCGATACAATGGTCGGGGAGCACCTCGCGCAGCCCCGACAAAGTCCCATCGTCGCATGCAGGTACGGGTTCGTCCTGTCGCCGTCGCCAATGGTTTGCCGGCATGGATTCAGCCGGCCGTCCGCCGGACTCGGCGCTCGCGCAAAGACTCTTTGGCTCGCCGATGTCGCTCATACAGTGCGACGACTGCACGCGGGCAGTGTTGCGGCTAACTTCGGGCACGCCGAAGCACCCCGGATGGGTGTTCTTCAAATGCGAAAACGACGGGGTACGTGT